GCATTGAACAAAAATTATATGTTGTACAGAGGCTTTTTAAATTTACAAAACAGGTTTGAATTCCTTGATTTTGACCGGAGTGAAATTAAACCGTACAGGCCGACTCCCTCAAAAACATGCTATTCAAATATTGCTAGAAGGTGCAAGGTGTAATCCAAAAGTTCAGGGACTGTGCTTCAATCCCTTTTGAAGTAGTCACCTGGTGAAGCGGTACTCTGCTCCTAGTGCTCCTGCCACATCTGGGAAGCTCTCTGGAAGTCTCATTCTGACTGCTGACACTGGGAGTGGTGTATTGCTGCACAAGTAGGGGAATTGTGGCTACATTTAAATCGGTTTGCGCTTCGTATAGGCGCGGTCTCTGAACTTACTGATTGCACCTCATACTGTCTCTATTGTTTAAATGTGATTGACAACTTAAATTCATAATTTTTATCTAAAAATGTGTTCTACACTTAATAAATTTTGACGGAATTGTGAAGCGTTTTGCAGCTTGAAATTAAAATCTACATGTCACACCTTTGCAATATTTCACGGAATCATATGAGTGAAGGACGTGAAGGGAGGTTGGGTGGATCAGTTTATAATGTGTTCTATGTGTGGATGTTTGGGAATTTAAGTAGCAATTGAATCGTTGTCTGTAAAGCAAACTGCTCAGTGAAAATATGAGTGCCGGCAGTTCATATCAGCTGCAACAGAATCATACAGAATATATATAATTGTTATGCTAACTACTCTGTCTCTTTGTTTTTCACTTCTCTCCTCCTTTCAGCTCAGGCCACAGCTGCCTTCCAGGCGCGCTACTCGGACACTTTCCCTAACAAGGTGTGCCTGCAGCTAAAGATCCGCGAAGTCCGTCAGAAGATCATGCAGACGGCCACGCCTGGAACCCTCGAGCCTGGAGGTCTGGCCGAAGCCAGCTCCGCCCCGCCCCACTGCTCCTCTTTCAATCAATCAACCCGGGAGGACGGAGGGACGGAGCAGCAAGGAGACAAAGGCCGGAGCCCAGAGGAGCCCAAAAGCGAAGGGTCTTAAGCTGGAGAAGATGATGAAGCAGGAAAATCAAGGAAAGAAAAAGAGTGAGAGAGAGGAGTGTGTGAACCAGTACTATGGATCCGTTCTACTGGCACGAAACTCCACCAGACCTGGGCAGAAACATGGAATATGGTCACAAATGTTCAACCTGCTCGAGGCGCACTTGGATCGTCCAATCAGACCTTTTAAAAAAAAAAGCCTCAAAAGTGGTCGAATCACATGCAAGTCACGACGAGTCAAGTGCTTCTTGTAGAATTGTTCTCCCTTTTTATTTTCCAAGAGTACTTTTAGTCAACACTTTTGCCCAGGTCTGCTCTCAGCACATTTGTACAGTAGTTTGTAGTTCGACACACAAACTCTGTGGTACACACTCTCTATCTCTCTGGCACACAAACACCAACCAACCCTGGTGCATATGTAATCTCCAGCATGCACATGATCCCACATACACAAACACACACACACATACACACACTTACCAAATCAGACTGTTACTCTTGGTTGGCAGTCCCCAGGAGCTGCTACCAAGGACCACGACACACAAAGGCACTTTGTCACTTATTGTGCAGATGCAGTTTGCTGTTGCCAGCCAGCCAGCCAGCCCTCAGATGCCATTGACTTGACCTCCTTCTTGCCCTTCCACTCCTCAGCACAGTGGTCGGGACGCAAACACAACCCCAACGACCTCCACTGATATTCCACAGCCCCTCGATGCTGCAAGACAGACAGCACACACACACAAACAGTACATGCACACACACAAACACACACACACAGCGCATGGACACATCTGTGCAGTGTGAGCACTCGTACACAAACACAGTCAACCCTGGTCTGACCAAGCCATCGGCCTGCACAGTTTTTAGTGATTGTAGTGAGACGAGAAACTGAAAGCATGAGATCTCCTGAAAAACAAAACGAAGGCAGGAGTTGGGATGTAGTGTGACCAATCTTTGCACCTTCAGTTATTGCCATTACGAAAGACTGAGTCCTCACTGGCAGGAGCTGATTATATATGTCTGTATGTCTGTTGGGGTCACGTCCCCGAAACCTGTGTGAACAGGCACCGTAATGAGATTATGTAAAGAGACTATTGGTTGTGAGGCTTTGAAGAATCAACGTTAAATTCAACGCTGGCCGGCTCCCAGTAGAGTGCAGAGAAAACCCAGAAGAAGAAGAAGAAGAAGAAGAAACCGGACGATGTTCATCGGATGCAAGGTTCATATTCCAACAATAGGAAGACGTAACAGTAGTGAATAAGGACAACAACAACACGACAAGCTCACCAACCGAGAAGAAACGTAGAATTTTAACCAAACTTCTCTCAATCTCCCCCCGTGGATATGATGTTGCTTTCTCTTGTTATCGTTGCCGTGGAAATAACCAGTTTTACCGTGGCCTGTTTTTCTCTCTCGTGGCTCTATTGTGTTTCTTCTCCAGCATAAAAAAAAAATCACAACAAAAAAAAAAAACTAACTAAAAAACTCTGGACAAAGAAGGGGACAAATATCAATCTGTGCCCCCCTCCTGCCCCCTTCCCCACTTTTAATTGTACCTGGGGTGGTTCTCCTCCCCTCTCCTCCCCCGTCCTCCCCTACGATTTCTCACCAGACACAGAAGTGGGGGAGCAGGGGCGTTTGTCGTTTTGTAAAACGTTGAAATCAGGTGTTTGCACAATTTGTGCGGCCCTCCTTGTCTGGGACCGCCACAAGTTAAATCAGGAAAGTATTGTTTTTAGAGATTGTTTTAGTAGATAAAAATAATAACCATGTTCCGTATGTTATCAACCACCTCTTTCCTCCCCCCTTTGTCCTCCCTGCTTTTCTCCTCCTCCCTTCAACTCTCCTCTCCTCAGTCCTTTCCTCCCTCCTTCAATGCTCTCAAACCCTCAAGTGTTAGAAAGTGCCCTTAAGCACTGGTCCCGGGTCAAGCGCTATGTAGCTCAGGATGGTTCTGGTTAGGGTTAGTTCAGGGAAAGCAGATCCTAGACCAGCCCTGGAGGGCAGTCTCTGGAGCCCTCCCCTCTTCCCTCTCTTCTCGACACTTTATCCTTTCCCATCAAATGGTGCAATAGGACATTTATTTTTTGGAAATGGGTGGGTTATTTTGTTTTTTCGGGGCAAGGCTCTGTGCCATAGATATTAAATCCAGTGCAGTCAGTCAGTGAGAGGAATGAGCTGTTGTGATACTATCTTTAACTATGGTATAAAACAAAACAAAAAAGAATCACACAATTATTGTTATTGTTGAAGAGATAGAGAGTATAACTTACTAAAAGTCAAAGACAATTTTTGAATAGCACTTTTTGGCTCTTTGCTTCTTTGGTGAAGAGTGGGGGTAGTTATTATTATTATGGGTATCTCTTTTATTTCTCTGTATACAGTTGGATGTGTGAAAAAATATATATACCGGTATTTCCATATATGTGCATTTAGGTCTGTGTTTGGGTGTGTGTGTATGTTTTGGCACATGCAGGTAGCGTGTTAACACGACCAACCTCTTGTTCTTTCACCACGCAGCAACATTATCAATAGTATATTTTTCATTGTATTCTATATTCTACTCTAGAGACAGTATTTTTATAGTCACCATGACTATTTTGTCCGCCATCTTGACTGTTATGAAACCCAGTTGATTCAGGATATATATGAAATATATATTCAGGATATACAATATATAAATATATATAGAAATACACACAGGTAATAGAAGACTATCAATTCACATCACTTTGGGGTTAGGGCTGTAAAGTGTCTATCTGCATGCATGTGCAATCACATGCACGCGTGCACGCACCCACACAGACATATGTGCATACACACACATGTATGCGTGTACACTGTATGATTGTGCTTAAAAATAAACTGTCCTTACTTTGGAGAAGGAATTTTAGGATGAGCGAGGTGAGTGTTATCTCATAAGCAGGCATGTTGACCATGTGCAATATTTCTAAACAACAAAAAAAAAAACTAAATATTGAAAATATTAAAGATCTAACACAATGCCGTATGTCCTTGACTTTATTTCACATTCCTGAGTTTTTCTTGAGTGTTTTATAATATTTAAATGGCTGATTTACAAACAGATGTCAAATCATCTTTATTTAAACAACTTGGCCACCTTGACCTGCCAGACAAGTTCCCCAAAGCCCTGGAACATACAGTGTGTACTTCCCCAGCTGGCCTTTATCAAGCATATCAGTGTTAGGAGTGCTTATTGGATTAGAGCAGCCTTTCAGATTCAGGTCATATTGTGTGAAGAGGTGGGTTAAGGTGAGCAGAACCGGTCAAAGAGCTTTCCACACTTTCTGGTAAGCTAAGAATGAGAAACTCCTGCCCACCTGAGTCCCAAATAAGTCGAGTGGCCTTCAGCTGTTGATAATATGAGTATATTGTTTTCCCCAAGCATGACGCATTACTGACTGTATTGAATAACATCAAAAATAACTTTCATTTAATCGAAGTCCAGTTTAAGATTTAAACAATATCAGAAAACTGAACTTTACAAATATTAATTCTAGTATTTATTTTTTTTTAAAGAATGAATTCAATTTGCATTAATATTGTTACATTTAGTGTAGCTGTACAAGCTGCATAAGTCCTATTGAGAAGGTTTCAAAATAAGGTTTCAAAGTTGGTAAATCACTTTAATCTGTTATGTAAAAATATCTGTACTATTGGTGCAAGAAGGTGGGCAGTTTGCCACTAAAAGGGTAAATTCAGTGATTAATGTGGGACTTTTGTCGAGCTACTACAGTGTTTAGAATTTGAATTTTATGGCCGTTTATACTGTGATTTGCTTTTTCTTCGGCCTTCATCCCTGTTAATTCATTTTATATTTGTAGTTGTTTTGATTTATGGAACCTAAAGCGGCAAACCTGAGCAACAGCTGCTTCAAACTCCATCTCCCAGGTGGCATTGCGAGCGGTCTGTTTCTAGGTGTCTAGCAACAGCTATCCGCTCAGACAGCCGGCGGCAACGGGAGCGGTATTTCTCGGTGTGTCTTCCCACGATTATTCGCTGCCGGGTATTCATATTTAATAGTCGCTTTGCTGAAAACGGTGAAAAAACAACCCTGACCCCTGCACAGAGATATGAGCGGCAGCGGGCGGCCCAGGACCAGCTCGTTTGCTGAGCCGCCAGGTGTTCCAGGAGCCGCCGCTGCGTCCACCGGATCAGCCGCTGCCGTGGGGAGCAGCACAGGAAAGTCCGGGGTCCCGCAGGCCTCCGGCAGCAGCTCGTCAGGATGCTCGAACCTTAAGCTTGCCAGTAAGTTCTAATTAGCCGCCAACTCTTAGTCTGAATCTGTGTGTCTAATAAATTGTGTTATTTTCCTTTATCGCATAAATACCTGCCGGTGTTATGTGTCATAATCCAGAGGAAAGTCGTTATTCCTCCGGTGTAGCGGCTAACGAACTAGCTAACGTGCTAACTAGGTAGCATGCTAACGTTAGCCACTTGTTTTGTATGTTACTAGTTCCCTGTCCGGCCGATGGACGTTTTCACCCCGTCTGGCGTCAGACCACCTCACCGGCCATCACTTTAACCCAATGAAACGTAAAACTAATGGAGGAATAAACAGCTTCAGTAGTGTTTAATTAGGAGCAGAGCATCGGGTTGATTTTACTGTGGTCACTGTGAGTGAGCAGTTAAATCCGCTCTGTTGTTCTTTGTGGCCAAGCTACACTCAAATGCCTCAACCTGAGTGCTGCATCGAGGATTCTTTTGTGGGGTTTGTCGCCGAGAGAGCGGCATCAGCTAAGCAGTCTGACTCTCCGGGAGAAGTGTCGGGGCGGAAAGTTGCCTATTCACCAAGGTCACCTGTGGGGCAAAGGCTTAGCAGCAGGTGGCCGACGCCTGGAGGATGCAAGTGATGCACATCCAGCTCAGGAGCTCGGCTGTCTGCTGGGATGCCAAGGAGCGGGCTTCCTGTGTCTGAGGTGGACTTACAGTGTGGCCCTTTATCACTGTGGTGACAGGTGTAAGCAGAGATCTGAGGGTGTTAATCCAAACGTTATCATCCATTAGCAGGCAGCGGTGTCTCTCTTGATATTAGAACCCGAGTGGGAGGTCATCTCCAGTTCAAAGCAGAGTGACCCTTGGTTTCACTCTTTTCCTCTGCAGCAGCAGCAGACCAACACTGCCCCAGGCCCTTCAAGCCCAAACGTTGCCTTTGGCTGTTAAAGATTCTCTATTAAATGATTGATGGACATTTTGTCAGGTTTTTCGGACCTGAAGTTATTTCAGGAGGCAGGATTAACCCATTTAGCCACATGTTGTGGAGAGAGAATGATGTGATTTGGAATTTTGAATTAGAGGTGAAATTAAACTTGGAGCATTAAGGATGTTGTGTTTCCATACCAACAAGGGATCTGTCATTATGAACAACACTGGAAGATATTTTTGATGAAATGTTCAGGGTGTCCAAGATTTTACGGCCAAAAAGAAAGGAAATGGGACTTGCTGCCATAAATGAGAGAATTTTCCCACACTGTAGAATAATTACCACTGCTGCTGTCACAGTGTCCAAGCAGTTGTTCCATTATTCACTGTCTGTGGAGCAGCTCCAGGATTTGTCTCTGGATGACACCATCATCACAGTCTGTCCCTTCAGCGTCGAGCTCAAGGGAAAATGTTCAAATTCACAAATTAAAGTGACTTATAAAAATTATTTTTAAAAACTGCTTAGGTTTTTTTTTTCTTCTTCACCAAAACAGGAACTGTGGTGAATCATGGCTATCTGTTAAACACTGAGGAGGCCTCTCTGATAAAAATCATGTGACACCACCACAGGCATGGTGGTGTCACAAGGCTATTTACATCCACACAGTCACTATATGTAAATTTCATGTAAACGAGCTCACTGTTTACCGAAAGACATGACCAGGATCTGCTAGAAGTCGACATTGTGTTGTTTCTGTTTTTGTGGTGGCCTGCAACTAGTAAGTATTTAATTGTGATTAATACGTGTTTGTCTGGTCGGCATAATGCCAAAAAATAGTGAAAAATGTCAGTCAGTGTTTCACAAAGGCCGAGATGACATCCTCAAATGTCCACAGCCCAAAAATATTCAGTGTACTGTCATATAGGAGTCAAGAAACCAGAAAATATTCAAAGTTAAGAAGGTGTGATCAAAGAATTTACAGTTTTTCTTTCAAAATTACTCAAACTAATTGAATATTTTTCAAAATAGTTTGTGATTAATTTATTGTTGACAACTTATCAATTAATAGTTGCAGCCACATGAGCACAATAACTCTAAAACAATAGATACTCGATAGAAGCCTTGTACTTACACCAGAGGTTCTCCCTATAGAGTAGATGGCCTGGTTAGATTTTGGAAGATCCTGCTGCATTAAACTGCATATTAATAAGGTAAACTTATTCTCTTGAAGCTACTTTGCTTTAAGATGTTGAGTTCATGCAAGTGCAGATTGTTTTATGTGTATGAAGATCAGGAATTACCAGGGAAATCTGCTGGTTAATGCATTGTTCAGAGTACTTTGTGGAAATTCCTATATTTCATTCTGTATTATGGAGGGATACTGGGTGCTACATGCTGTATATTTTAGATATTTATGCTTTATTGTCAAGCTTGCCTTAAAAGTATGTGCAGTTTGCATTTAAAACCGCCAAATAAATAGCTGTGGATGTGACAGAGTATGAAAAATGGCATGCATTTGGAGATTATTTCCTCCTGGAGACTCGAGTTTCCTTCCGTGAATGTCAGGTGAATGACAGGAAGCCGAGTGTGACACGGCGCAGCGCTGATATGAAAACACTGAGCTTGAACCACAAAGCGATGATAAATCAGGAACTCTGACAAATCTACATTATGATACATTATTGACCTCAGGCAAGTTACAAGCCTGTGGAAATTCTTTTTCACTTTGTGAAAAATGAATGGCAGCTGCAGCAAAGGAGCTCGAGCTGTACTCTGATACATCAGCAGGAAAAATGTAAGAGGAGGCGCAGCATAGACAGTTGGCATAAACGTATCCTTTAACCAAGTGTCCTACTTTTAACCTGCAGTCGTGTGTGTGTGTTGTGTGTGTTGTGTGTGTTGTGTGTGTGGTGTGTGTTGTGTGTGTGTTCATTACTGCCCAGAGGATGAACCCAGTCATTCAGGTAGAAACCCAGTGACCCGGTCACTCTGCAGGCTTCACAGTTTCAGCTGTAACAGATATCACCAGCGTGCCGATTGGATAACCAGCACACTTTTGTGCATGCGTACAGTTTACTGTGTGTGGATGTGGATGCACAAGAACACCAGGACTTGCAGTTCTGTCTGTAAGAGGGCCATATCAATAAGTGCATTGTCTTGTTTGGTAAACAAAGCATTAAGTCTGTGGACATGGTCGGGGTGACAGCGATACAACACGACTACAGCGAGATGGCAGAGGGCTGCTCTATTATTTAAACAGCACAGATCAGTTTAGGAAAAATACATTTCCATCAGCAGCATGGAGTAGGTAAAGAAATCCAGAAGTCAGTAACTTTTTGAAGGACTTTAGTTAAAACCAAAGACTTCAGTAAATTTATATTTTATCTCATTTTACAAATTTCTGCTCCACAAGGCCACATGTCTACATTTTATTTTATTTTTCATGTATTTGTCCAACCAAAATGCTTGTTTCGTTGTGGAGTAAACATGACAAGACTTGCAGACACATTTAACGTGAGCACTCATATCTGCAGCAGCACTGCACTAGATCTGATCCAGGGCTTGTAAGAACAGAGCCGTGCCTGGTTAGAGGGTGTTTGCTTCATGATCTGAGACACTTAATTTCCTATGATGAGTAATGACTTTACTTTAACTAAGACTCCTGCTAGACTGTTTAACAAAAAGGCTTTTGAGTGACTCCCCTTTTTCTTGTTTGTCCCAGTTTGGCATTTAAGCCTCGAGGCTCTATTATTCTGTTGTTGGAGTCATTTTTAACTTTAAGTTAGAAAAAACTGCAGGGATCTGATAAAGTAAATAAATAAAGTGGAAGAAATGAGGAGAGAAGACAAGAAAGAGACGTAGGCACTCCTTAGATTAAAATGTCTTTATTATATTGACTCGTCCTCTTTGGAATGTAAAAAAGAACCATGCCTTCTTCTGTTCAAACTTCTTGTTTAACTTAACAAAGAGTCCAAAATCTGTAGATTAATATCAGTTATGACACACAAAAAAAGCAGCAAATAATCAGAGCTGTGAAGCTGAAACTAGTGAATGTCAGGACTTTGGCTTGATCAACAATCAGAGTAGTTGCAGATTAATTTTATCCAGCTTTAATGGTTCACACAGCAGCGTCCTGCTAATCAGACCTCACGCTGTTCCAGTCATTTAAGTGAACCTCAGACATTTTGACCGCACATGGTCTGTTTCATCTGAAATGATGAGTTGATGAAACACAAACCAGGAATTTTATCTTGAAGTCTTATCAAATGCAAAGACACCACAAAATGTTTTATTCTCTCTTTATCAACATGTGAAAGCTTTAATGGCAGCAAAATGTTTCTCCCCCGTCTGAGATAAACAGCAAACCATCAAGATTCTGCAAAGGAATCTACCTGCTGTCTGTGCAGAAGCATTTAATTGAGCAGTGGATGGTATAATAAAATAATCCTTTTATGAAAGGCTGTTATCACTTAAAACAGTTTATCAGGACAAAGAACGTGGCTGGCCTATTTTTGGGTTCATTCCCAGTTTAATTAGTCACAGTGTCTTGAATATGAACTCTGCCTTTCGTGTCTCCTTCCTTGGAGGCTTTTTGTAAAGTTGACAACCATTCACCAGGCTGTCATTAACCTAAATATTCAAACGGCCAGCGGAGAGACGGCCCAGATGTGAAGGCTGGTTGCAGCAAGTGTCCCGGCTTGAATGTCAGGAGTATTGTTTTGGTTACACTGTAGAACAGTTTCGTGTCTTACAGCAGAAGCCAGGGGGATCGTTTTAATCCTTCTTTTGACTTCACAAGTTTTAGCACAGTAAAACCACGAACAGAGACGCAATTCTACTGCGGCAGAGGGAGGTTTTCTGAATCGTAACACTATATTCATTCATCTGTTGACCTCATATAAACCGGTTCTTGTCCTTGTTTCCTAGGAGACAGCGGGAAGGTGACAACAGTCGTGGCCACACCAGGTCAGGGACCCGACCGCCCGCAAGAGGTCTCCTACACTGACATCAAGGTAAGAAAGAAAAAGAGCTCACAGCGTCATCGTAACAAGATCTATAACAAGAACTTTATTACCTCATGTGTGACTGTAACTCAGACTTTAATTACCGCATTGCAGGAAACAACCGCAATAAATTTGGCTGGTATTAATGAAAGTTTTAATAAATACCAGCGGTTCCATAATTATCATAGCAGGACTAATGATTTATGACTTTCAAGACATTCTTTATAGCCTACTTTCATTTTTTTTCCTGAACACGACACAATTGTGTCAGAGCCAGATACCTGTCTGACTTGGAAGATTACTTCATGGCTCTCTGAGTGTGTGGACGCTTATTTTTATCATAATTGTTATCTCAAAGTCAATAGTATTATTACACTGGCTTATCAGACATATTGACACTTATCCAATGGCTGCAGTAGTTGAAGGTTATCAAGGCGATTTCAGGGTTTTATGTTTCATGATGTCAAACGAGTAATGTTTCACACGGTGTAGTAGCCCATTATTCACTGCTGCATTTCATCTATGCCAGCTGGCTGATGTTTCACACTGCAGTCTGACCTTCACTTAAAGAAATACCGTCTCAGAACGAAGACATTTATGCTTTGCGGTGTGTTTTTTGGTTCCATTAAGTGTATTTAGCCCTCAGCTACACGGTGCAGCACTAGTATAAGAACAGATTTAGCACTTTTTTCTGGTGGGAACTGCTGTTAGGAAAAACCCCCCAAAACCAAAAATACAATTCACTTCTGACCTCGCTTCAAACTCACGAGTTGCACCAGTTCAGACACTGAACATGAACATATACAAACAGAAAAGTTGTGACAAAGTCTTCAGTGTCTCGCGGTTCTCTCTTGCAGGTGATTGGCAATGGTTCGTTCGGTGTGGTGTACCAAGCTCGCCTCATCGACAGCCAGGAGATGGTGGCCATTAAGAAGGTTCTGCAGGATAAGAGGTTCAAGGTAAGGCTGTCACTTCAGGGTTTTTTGGCATATTTTTCCACACATTTTGTTATCAGTCGGGACCTTAGCCACTCTTATAAAAGCAGATTCTCAGTAATGAAGACAAATTCAAGAACTAAATAAAATGGCAAACATGCAACAAAAACAAACAACTTAGTCAAATCAAGACAGTGGTTTTATGTAGCACATCTAAGACAACAGCCAAAGTGCCTTCCAATAAAAAGGATTGTGATTGGTGTTAATAAAGTAACCTAACAAGACTAAACATTAAAGTTAAGACTCTCTAGTGTTATTTGTGGTGTGATTTTACCTGAGTAATTTAGGTAACAGGGAATAAACCCTACATAAATTCAATAAAATACTTTTTTACTTGATTATAGTGCTTCTAAGGCTGACACCCTATAATTTTATTAAATCTGTACAATACCCTCATTAATGTAATGATAATGCTAGATACTACAATATTATAAATTACATGTGGCTCGCGCCCTACAGTGGCATTTATTTTAGAAATAGACCTGACTAATTTAGAGCCCTTTTTTAAAATAGTATTTTAAGTGTTTTGGTGTCATGTTATTATACTTTATTTGTGGTGGAAGAAGAGACCTCCAGCAGAACCACTAAAAAAAGAAGGGCAGACGATCCTTTTCAGATGGTGGTCAACATTTGTAAAGTTTCAGTCCTTCTCAATGCTTTTCTTGCTGACTTTGTGTAGTTGATTTCCCAATAGGGACGCTATTAATGGTTCAACCGATAAGGCAGAAGACATGTCTGCCAGGAAATGTGTCTTAGATCAGATTTATTGCAGGGATGTGGTGCCAGGTTGAGCCTCTTACAGTTAGAGAGAGTGGAGTTACAGGTGTGTTCACTGACCGCCCATAAAGGTTGCATAAAACAAGTGCACCTCCCTGCTGTCTAACTGCTAAAGAATGCTAAATTTGTTAAAAAAGAAAAAAGGTGTACAGACGACTTTCCTGTTTAGCTAGCTACCTCAGGAGCAGCAGGACTCTAATTACAAGCTATTAACGACACTCAGACTAAAGTGATGAAGTGTATCAGCGACTATAAATGCGTTTCAGAGGTGGCAGTAAACACAGATTTCCTGCACTGATAAAGTTGCTGCGACTGTGTTTTTGGGCATCTGTTCCAGCTGAGAAGGTGTTTCCAGCAGCTGGATTCATGTTAACTGCAGTGAGCAAGTCGCTTAATCATGTAGATCAGTTATGAGGAATTTTTAATCTAAAAACTACTGTAAAGATTTAGTAAAGTTTCAGGGTATTCGCTGTGGAAGACTGCATCTTGTTTGTTGTGTTTAATGCTTTGGATTTTGTTGAGTCAACTGTTGGAGCAGCAGTTTTAAAGGAAGTAATAATTTTTGGTGTTTATTTAATAATTTATTAACCTTGCGTTGACTTTATCTGTTCTTCAGATTCTAAACTGAGCTGACTTTGTGCAAACTTTAAGTGTCACTTGTTTTCATTAATTTTTACGGTTTATGAGTTAAAAAAAAATAGTTTAAAATTGCATCCCGCATTCTCTCCCACACTTGTGTGTTTCTTGTCTTTGCAGAATCGGGAACTGCAGATCATGAGGAAGCTGGACCACTGCAACATCGTCCGACTACGTTATTTCTTCTACTCCAGTGGCGAGAAGGTACGTGTTCCTGCAAAAGAAATTTAAAATGGTTACAGTACAGCCCGTTTTAACAAAACAAGCAAACTTTGTAGTAAAGCTCATAAAAACCAGGACATTATAGGAAACCAAGCTGTTTTCAGATCATGCAAACTTTGGCTCCCACACTCTTATCTCACAGTACCATAGTTTCAGGATGTTACACCAGTAAAGCAGCGGAAACTGTGCATGAACGTACCACACATAAATTAAGATTCCTCAGATGAAGCAAAAAAAAAACCCCAACCCTTAAAAAGGGAAGTGGCCCGTTTCTTCAAGTGAAAAATATAAAAGCATTTGTAATGTTGCTGAAGTGGCTTATTGGAAACCATATTTGGTTTCTACACTTTTTTTTTTTAAATAAAGAGATTCACCTTCAAAATCAGCACGTACTGAACACATTTGATCTGTTTGTTTGTGGTTGTCTTTAATGATGCGTGTTTTTAATCTGTTCTTCATCTCTGTCCATCCTGTACAGAAAGATGAAGTGTACCTCAACCTGGTGCTGGACTTTGTCCCTGAGACGGTCTACAGGGTTGCCAGACATTTTAACAAGGCCAAGAGCATCATTCCCATCATTTATGTGAAGGTAAGTTTCATCCTTCTCCTGTCAAGATGCTTCTCTGTTGTCCAGATATTACCATGTTTCAAAATTCACCTGAATTTTTACACATTTTTACATTAGACAATATTTAATTTTTAAAAAAATGCTTGCTTCTTTTTAAGCTGCCCTGTAGCAAAAACATGACTGTATATATATGCGTACAGCTATAAAGAACCATATGTTTTTTATTAATAAAGTAGGCCAACTTTATTAATAAAAACCTTTTGTTTGCAGCTCAGCAAAAGTTGTACTTCAGTGATGCTTGTACCCATTCTGCTTTGAAAATAGCACTGCGATTACTAGAGTATTAATTTAGTTTTTTGTTGTTGTTTTTTTTTGTCACAATTGTTTTTTCAGTTTGAATGTTTAAAACTTAAGGGACACTGAATATTCTGGCTTATATTACAAATATCATGGCTTTGACAGGTCTGCTTGCCTTGGGCACATTTATCAGACTACAGTTTGTCCATCATTTGGACTTACAAGTTGCCATGAAGATTCACATTTAGAAACGATTTGACTGGATGTTATTTTCTTTCAAAAACAGATGACAGTTCGCAAAACAGCTGTCATCCATCTGGCTTGTAGCCTACAGATCACTAGGCTAAGCTTTTAGCATCTTATTCCAGCGATTCCCAACCAGGAGTACTTATACCCCACGGGCAGTTTTCGAGGGATACACGGAAAGATTAGTTCAACTAATTTGAAAAATATGAAGTGCCGGTTTGGTTAAAAATAAACCTGCGCTGGATTGAGGCATTTACAGTTTAACCAGTTTGCTAAATGCAGTGAATAAATAGTTGAAGTTGATAGCTAAAAGTAAGAAACCGGTAGCTAAACGTAACGGATTAATGATTAAAATATGACATAGCTAAATATCAAATAAATAGTCAACATAGTTGGTTAGATTAGTTGTAATGCTAAAGTAATAGAATGGTCTTAATAGTAATAGATAAAAGTTAAAATAATTAATACATTTGGGAAAAGTAGGTAAATATTTCACTAAATGTAACAGATGCATAACTGAAATTTCCAAGTCCCTCCTTCTGACAATATTTAAAAGTACAATAAAATAAAAATAACTGATTTAGAACATGATGGGTGACATTGATGAAGCGGTACTGGACCGGCCTATGTGGGTATATCTGCCAAAAAATGTGGGAATCACTATCTTCCACCGTCCATTCTGTCTCTTCACCACTTTAAACACATTTTTTTAAGGTCTTTGTAATAAATTGTTCCTAATGATTACACAAGAGAGCATCTTTACTCTGGCAATTTAAAACCATCCCAAAGCACCTTATTAGTATTATTATATTTTTGAATATTGCTGATTTCTGTTTTTGTTGGTGTGGGACTCTGATGTGGTTTCGTTCTTATGTTGCTGCTCCACAGGTGTACATGTACCAGCTGTTTCGCAGCCTGGCGTACATCCATTCCCAGGGCGTCTGTCACAGAGACATCAAGCCCCAGAACCTGCTCGTCGACCCAGAAACTGCCATCCTGAAGCTGTGTGACTTCGGCAGGTGAGCCGCTGTACAAGAAATCCACACAAGCTAGAACTTTGTTTAACATCTACAAGATCTAATTATACAGAAAAGCACAAGCAAACTCCACATAACAGGCTGAAAGTACTCACCTGGTTTCCTTTGTGTAGGCAGCCCTTTGACTTTGGTAGCTTATACAGTCTATAGTCTCCACAGCTCATATTCTTTATCATAGTTCACACCTTTTACCTTTTTACCCCAGACATTTTTTTGCTCAGTGATTTAATGCGATTTCTCGTGTTTCCCTCAGCGCCAAGCAGCTGGTCCGCGGTGAACCCAACGTCTCGTATATCTGCTCCCGGTATTATCGCGCCCCCGAGCTCATTTTTGGTGCCACGGACTACACGGCAAACATCGACATCTGGTCAGCCGGCTGCGTTCTGGCAGAGCTGCTGCTCGGACAACCCATATTCCCCGGTGACAGCGGGGTGGACCAGCTAGTAGAGATTATCAAGGTGGGTGTGTTCAGCAGGCACCTCTGTGTTGCTGTGTTTATCTTAGAATAACTTGTTTTCAGAAGGGATCCTCAACACAGCAACTCACCCATAACTTTATTGATAAAAACACTGTTGTGATCACAGGCAGTCACACACGTGAATTTAGACGTTTTATTTTTTGTAACAAATTTTTTTATTAATCTTTAAATTGCTAGTGATCTTTAATATACAATAAGGCTGGAGATTATTCACAGCTGTCCTCTCCTCATATTAATGTCGTTTTTAATGTGGCCTCTTTCGTTTGTGTTGCTTCTTGTTGCTGCAGTCGAGTTCACACATTAACCAGAGAATTTGCCGTCAGTTTTTAAATCACAGATTCAGAGGCTACGTCCACACTAATAGTACATTGTTTTAAACTTCTGCTGTGTTTACACCAAGTGTCTGCACTACTCCATGTATAAAGACTTCTAGAACTGAGTTTTTTGGAAACACTGCTGAATCCTGTTTCATTTTAAAAGCTGTGTTTTAGTCTGGACAGGCAGAAACTGAGCTGCCATCCATGCAGCTTGTGGCCTACAACTCAATAGACTTTGTTTTATCATCTTATGCCACTGATTCCCAACCAGGGCTGCTTGTACCTTCTGCAGTTTCCAAGCGGTATGTGTAAAAATGAGCTTAACTAATACAAAAAAAGAAATTAAGTTCTAATTTGGTTAAAAAAATAAATCAGTGCTGCACTGAGGCATGAAAGCCAGATATCGGTGAAATCTAACCAGTTCAGGTAAAATTAGGGAATGGCTAGCTGAAAGTGATGGCTTAATGGTTAAAATATTCAATTCAATTCAATTTTATTTGTATAGCACAGTTTACAATATATGTCATCACATAGCGCTTAACACAGTAAGGTATAGACCTTACAAACTTAAACAGAGAACCCAGCAATCCAAAGTAGCCTTTGGACTTCCGCTGAGCAAGCGGTTGGCAACGGTGGGAAGGAACCAAAACGCCCCTCCCCCAAAGGAGGGGGAAAAAACCTATATGTGGCTGAAAATTGGATAAATGGTCAATACAGATGCCAAGATAAATCGTACTGCTAGTCATGAAAAAAGTTGTTGTTTTTTTTTTTAAAAGCTTGAGGGTTGCGTTTTTGTCCAGACAAAAACTGAGGCTTTTTGAAATGTCTTTGCCTTCTCATTGACTCTAAACTGTACATATGTCGCTCCCTGAATTTGCTGGAAGAAAAACAACAACATCAGCTTGACTCCCAGTAGTCGATACAGTGTGGATAACAAATCACAGGCGTTGCTGACCTTGTTGTGTCTGCTAGCAGCTGTTGTGGAGTAAAGAAAATCTCTGGTCTTATGTTTCACCGTTGCTCTCGTCTCTCTGTGAGCAACCAACCTCCTGCTTCATGCTTACATGCTCAGTGCACGTGAATGGTTCATGTGATGTGGCTTTTCAGGTGTGTTGCTATGTACAGAGATTATTTCTGAAACTGAGCTAAAGTGCTTGACTCTGTTTTAAAATATAAACGTGTCAGCATGGAAACCCGGAAATTGTCTAGTCCACAATTTCTTCAACCAGTGTAAATGTAAGAAAGAGTCTGAATGGATTAACTGCTTATCAGAGTTCAGGGGTCACAGTGAAGCAACATTGCAGGTAAATGGTACCATTGTTCCCCTCCATGTTCAAATATATTTTGACTGTCTCAGCTGTCTTTCTGAATGTGAATGTATGTTGCTCAAAAATTATTTTGTCATCACCAGTCGGTCCATATCACTCACACTGAATTAAAATGAGATGTGGACTTCAGAGTAGTAACTTTGAGAATCCCTGGTTTAAACAACACTCCTCCTGCTTCTGTTTTCAGGTGCTAGGAACACCAACAAGGGAACAAATTCGAGAGATGAATCCCAACTACACAGAATTCAAGTTCCCACAGATCAAAGCGCATCCATGGACCAAGGTAAGCAAACACCTGAGGACACACAGCAGCTTAACAGTCTTCTCCAGATTGGTGGCGTTTGAAACAAGTGAGGAGTGAATCACATAGATTCAGTGTCCTCGAACTGAGAGAGAAAATCTGAGAACAAGGACTACGATTAAACTGCTATTTACTGTGTTTAGTAACTGTTTAGTCTCTAAAATGGCAGGCAACAGTCTCAGAGGTGTTGCCTCAGATTGTTTTGTCTAATTAATAGTCCAAATGATATTGGTGTGCCGTGTTGTAACAAAACAGGAAAGCAGTAAATATTCACACTTCAAAAGCTGCAGGTTGATATTTTTGGAGTTTGCCTCAGAAAGTCAGAAAACAACTTTATTGCTTGTTGCTTTACTATAGTCCTTAGTTTCATAACTTGCCACATATGGCATGAGACAGATTTTGCACATTTTTATGCAAATAAAATTACCATATATAAAAATATGTCCACTGTAGTAATCCACCTGAAAGAATTGGTTCCTTAAGGAAAACCTGCAGCACTCCAGTTTACCAGAACAAAAGAAGAGCGATCCTGTGGATGTGTTGTTGGAGCCACGCAGGCTATTTAAATCTGAGCTCAAGTGTTTTAATGTTCTCCTGAAAGTCGATTAACCCCGACACCTAAAGAGAACGGAAACGGCACACAACCAAGAGAAGTGGCCCTTCAACGTTTACTACAGAGCAGTTGGCTTTCTGCTCCAAAAACTGCATTCTGTAGACGAAGAACGACTTGTAGAAGCGGCTGTAGCTGTGGGTTAAGATTAAATACTGAATGTAAAAGGAACACTCGTGTTTCAGACTAATTTCCAGATGTTAGACACGAGAGAAAACCCTCAGCCGTCATTCATTATATGTGTTTATATATGAGCCTAAACAGTGATATCTGGACTTTTAATGAAACTCTTCCTGCTCCTCAGGTGTTTAAACCTCGCACCCCTCCAGAGGCCATCGCTCTTTGCTCTCGGCTGCTGGAGTACACGCCGGCCTCCCGTCTCTCCCCTCTAGAGGCCTGTTCACATGCCTTCTTCGACGAGCTGCGCCAGCCAAACACGCGACTGCCCAGCGGCCGAGAACTGCCGATGCTCTTCAACTTCAGCACCACAGGTACGTTCAGGCTCACAGGCATCAGTTACAGTTCGCAGCACGCAAGATTTCAGCGCTGCACAAAAAAGAGAGAACACGTTTATCTGTTGTGTGTCGCCATGTTCAGCCACATTAATTACAATCGGATCATCTTTTTGTGTTTGTTTCGGGCCACAACCGTGACCTCTGAGGTGGTGCAGCTAATGCAGCGTACACTGCTCTTTTGTTGAATGACACCCTCCTCCTGTTATGACTCATCCTGAATAAAAACTCCTCTTTTATTCTCTGCAGAGCTGTCAATCCAGCCTCAGCTGAACTCAACCCTCATTCCTCCTCACGCTCGCTCACACACAGCTGCTTCCGCCCACGGTGGGAAACCTTTATTATAATTTTATTGTCACTGTCAACATCATGGTTTTTGTGCTGGCTGGGAAAAAAAAAACTGATGAAGTGTAATTTCAAAAGAAAACATTACAAATACAAGGCCAGATATGGCACATAACAATCTGGAAATAAAAATCTTAAAACTGTCTTTTTCGACCGTGTTAGTGTGCAGCCACTGATGCTATTCTAAATTAGATTTTGTTTAAAGACTCCTCCAGTTAAAATCTAGTTTTTTAAATTTGATACCGTGTGCGTATTGTGTTGTATTATTTGCTGGACGACGCATCATGAGCAAAATATGCAGAGTAGCGAGTATAGTTTAAAACACCCATTCAGACTTCCAGGGCTTCATATGTGACAAACCCAAAGGACGAATCCTGTCAGCTTGGAGTGTCATTGTTCTTTAGAGTAGTTCAGTTAGTCTTTAGGTTCTGGTTCAAACCCGTACGGCTGAATTTCTCCAATATTACAACTGGCCATTGTGCAACAGTGCAGAATAGTCTTGCTGCAAGTGTACTTTTACATTTGCTTGAGCTGCAGCAAGTAGCAGAGGGGAGACTTTAAATTCAGAACCAGTGAATGAGGATGTTAATGATTAATAGTTTGATTGATTGAATATTAACCGATGAGACAGAAGATGAAGGACAAGCATGTCAGACAATGCGTTGTACCTGGTTGCACCACCAGATGGAGCCTCTCACTGTTTAATGCTGCGACCTGAGGAGGCGGTCACAGAGCATTGTGGGGGTTTTAGCTACTAAAGAGCCACAATGACAGAGTCTTCTATGATGGTTAATGGATACCGGCAGCATTTAAGACAAGCTGATGTCTGCTGGGACAGCGCTGTTGTAACCTCAATAAATGTAAATAAGCTTATGTGGCGGTAACAGTCACACGACCAATTTCAAAAATACCCATCAGCACATGGAATGACATCCACCGCACTGAATTCATGTCATCAATTAGTCAGTTATTTGTAATATGGCTGCCCATTATTGGTCAAGAATATTGTCAAAATTTGCATCCGTGGATACACAGTATCACAAGATGCTAAATTTCCATCATTAACCATCATCACACATGTGTGTGACAACTTTAAGTGTTTTTTCTTATGAACTGCATGTACCACATTGCACTGGAGCCTTGAGTTTGCATTTATCATTGCATCGCCAAACATTCCTTCACTAGTGATCCTGCAACTAGCAAAATCCGTAAGTCATTTCACAAAGAATGCTCATTTTTATTACAACCCCCCAAAAAATCAGTTCTACAAGCACAAAAGCTGAAGCTAACACAAGATGGCACCGCTCAACATGAAACAAAATGTATGTGCTAATCAGACGTAACGTATTAGCTCCATAGTCAGTAGTGATAGATTTTAGACTTTAATTTAGCTCAGATTTATTTAAATAGCACCTGTTCACCATCAAGTCATGTCAGAGTGTCATTATAGAGAGAAGCCCAACAAATTCAATGATTCTCTTGGTCACAGTGACAGACTTGTGTGTCATTTTTTATCAGTCATGTCTGTTGTACACTGTCCTGCTATGAAACTTCAATTCGCAGCTCACTGTGCCTCTCTGTCCTCCTTCTCTCCTTCAGATGGTACCGGTTCAGACTCATCTCAACACAGTTCAGTACCAGGATCTCTGAACAGCATCTGAAGCAGCTTCTCACCTGCCTGCCTGCAAGCTTCACCCTCTTCTCAGACACACACACACACACACACACACACACACCTACACACACACACACTCTCTCTCTCTCTCTACACAACTTTCCTCCGTGCTGCTTGCTCTCCTCGTAGATGATCCGTTTCTGTACAGTGAATGCATTGAACAAACATTAGTTCTGTAGCTGCCAGGGTCGAAACTACGGCAGGAGATTGTTACACAAACGCAGAGTCGTCCCGCTGCTGCTCGGGTGGTTTGAGAAGGTTCAATAGTGGGGGCTGGTCCTCTGTAATATAACCTTTTTTAATCAGCATTTCTCCTTTTTTTTTTTCTTCTTTACGTTTCTGTTTATTTATTTGACTAATTGAAAACATCTTGTGATCACACAGAGGGTTTTTTTTGTTTTGTTTTTTTTTGTTCTTGGGTGTTTTTAAACCCCTGTATGTACGGGGTGGACTGCTCACTGCCTGATGATTATAGATTCTGACGCGTGTAGGTCATCAGAATACAGGACTTTGATTTAACTCAGGGTGGGAGAACTGATGTAGGTGGATTTATAAATTCTCCAGCCGCTTTATTTAACAGGTCCAGCCCAGTGTTTCAGTTAAAAATTAAACCTCCAGCTCTCAATAAATTAGTGACAAGTAGAGGAGAATCGCTCATCAGTGCCAGGTTAGCAGTGACAAGTGTTTGTCTTTTAATCAGGTCAATTTTTACAGACTGGAATGGAAATAAGCAGCCAAAAGCTGATCCTACAGAATGTGTCTGATCTTTTTTTTTTTTTTTTTTTTAAATATTACTTGCAGAAATTGAGATCTAGTTTTAGTAACCAAGCAAATAAACTAAAGGCGCTGCTCGATGTAGACGATGACTGATGCAGTTTATTCCAGGACCCATGGTGATAATTTGTATCCGAGGTGACCGATAACCGATATTTAGAACTGTTTGCAGCAAAAAAGTATATTTAAGGTGTTAAAATGTAGAATTACAAATCCTCCAACACAAAGCTTTTGTTTTACGTGTTTGATTAAAAGAGAACTTTTAAACATTTATCCTTCAGTGTTGATCGGCTGTTATTTTGATATTCCCCGAGACCACAGAGTCCGTACAGAGGGTTTAAAAGAATACAGATAATCGAGGCGCTGCTATAGCTCACCCGGTTGAGCTGGCGTCCCACGTACAGGGCTACAGTCCTGATATAGAGGTCATGGGTTCGAATCTCGCTCATGGCCCTTTCTCACACGTCCTCCCCCTACTTTCCTGTCTCTCTCTCTCACTGCACTATCCAATTAAGACACAAAGGCCAAAAAAATAACTTAAAAAAATAAGATAATCCTAAATATACTGAACATTATTAGTTACTGGACAGAGGAGCTGCTGCTTGTTCTCCATCCTACCAGCTGATTGGCTGCGTTCACTGCATGACAAATGTGAAGAAAACTGACAGATAACACTTAGATCACTACAGTGACGGAAACCATGTAGGTTATAAATCAAGCCGAGATACTTTAACTAATCAGCCACCGATCAGCAGGAATTCTGTATCACATTGATGCATCTCAAAGACTTTTTTTTTTTTTTTAATATCGTTTGCTTGCTGAATTTAAACTCGGATCCTTTTAACCCATCCAAAGGAAAACAGTGCGATAATGAAACGTTTAATCAGCAGTTCTCTTAACCTTCACTGTGCTGATGCGCTGGAACGTACAAGTCTGTTGGTCAGAGCGGATGTTCAGAAAGGTCTGGAAGGTGAATTCTGCTTTAAAAAAAAAATCAGCTGTTTTCATTTTATGTTTTGATTAAACCAAAAAAAAAATGTGTTTGTCACTTTGAGCTTTCCAAATCCATCATCTATATAACAGAAAACCACAAGGACTGAAGCGTAGCATGTACGAGGTGTGGCTATTAAATGAAGAGATAATAATTATTTAACATCTGACCCGGAGTTTAAACTGTCACATCGAGAGTTTTACAAATTCATGCCGTCCGTCTTGTGTGGCAGACAGTTTTTATGCTGAATAAAGTGAGTGTTAAACTGTAGCTTGACTATTTAAATAAATAATATCACAAAATCTGTCAGAAAAGTCACAGTCAGTATTTCCCCTGAAGCCTTGACGTCGATGTTACTGATAAGAAGTGAGAACATTTTGAATTTGGGTCGTTGTGAGTCCTTCTATTTAAAGAAAATAACTTTAAAGGCTTGAAATGCATTGCCACACTGATGATTCCCCCTTTTATAATTATGTTATCCCACCTGTTGCCGTGTCACGAGGCTGGTTTAGCAGTCTGTTTTAATTTCACAACGTTATTAAAGCCTCTTTCCAGTCTCCACGCAAATATTGGCAGAATAAAAGCAAACCACAAACGAACCAAAAATTGAATTTGGATGGATTTTCTGTCCTGATATTAGCGTAGAAAGAACACATGTATAATCCTACAGCAGAATTGTGCGGCAGAGAAACCGGGGAGCGCTCAGACGGGGAGATTATGTGGGTTTTATTTATTTATTTGTCTTTGAATATGAGTTTGAGTCGCCTGCAGAAAGCGAGAGAGCCTCGACATCGCGCCGTCGCAGCTTCTTTAGCAAACTGTAAAGATAAATGAACCTCGCTGACGTACACCAGAGCGTATCCAGTGAGTGGAAAGGCTTAATGTGAATAGTAGCTGAACATGAATATCGAGCAGGGAAATTCCTTTAAGGCGTCTGTGTGTGTGTGTGTCTGTATTTGTGTGCTTCTATTTTTACAACGACAAAATTTGGATCGACGGGACAGTGAGGACATTTGGCCGGTTCTCACGTCTTTTAAAGAGATTTTTGAGGGCTACCAGTAAGAGTTTTTAAAGATTGAAACAAGCATCGGAGCCCAGAGAATGTATCGCTGTATGTCAGTTTAAAGTGTGTGTGTGTGTGTCTGAGCATCTTCCAACCTGCAGTCTGAACAGCCAGTGTTTTAGGATTAGAGCAGCCAACAATACAGATTTTTAGTAAGCAGTACAGACCACTTGAAAGTTTGTAGTATAGTATATTTGATACTATTGTACCATGCCTCCACCTGCTGTTTTTAACTGCAGCCATGTTTGTTTTGAACTTTTTTTTTTTTATTTTTAGAAGCAAAATTGCTTTTCTTTTTTCTTTTTTTTAAAATTCCACCACACATTCATTCTATATGAGGAGAGCGGAGAGCATTAGTCTCTTCTTTTTTTTTTTTTTTTTCTCCCTGCCAGATGCTTCCTGGTTTAAACTCCCAGTCTGGCGGGTTGCTGCCGGCTACATCCTGCTTTCTTTGCTGTTGAGAGTCTAACCGGCGTGTTTGATTACCTCCACAGGGTTCGCTCACACTCAGAGCTGTCAGACTCTCTGTGGCTATGAAAAGGTGTGACAAAGCCCGAAGAGACAATCAAACAAGGCTGGTTTTTTCTCTCCCCTGAATCTCGAAAGCC